AGTTACTTACTGCCTCTTCTGCTTTGATCTTTTATGTCTACATCACTTCTCCTCTCTTCCCTTTGCATCTGTTTCTTCACATCACATGCCCCAACCGCACTTTTTCAGGCCCTACAAAGTGACTGACATCCTTCCAGCCAACATTCCCTTTGGGACTCTTCCATGCTGCTCTTTCACAAAGCAGAGGGGTCTCTTTGGAGAAAGTGCTTGGCCCTGCCAACCTATAGAAGAAGAGCCCAGGAACTGAACTAAGGTTTCTTGCCATAGCAGGGCAAAGCACTACAATTGGGCTAACCTAGCATAGTTTCTTTGTTATGAAGGTTGTAGCTTGTGCCTTGTCCAGGTGTGCAGGATTGTCCATGTGATTATCTTTCACTATAACCTTGCACATAGTGAAAGATTACTTAAAACCTCTGTCTTGAAATCCTGCCAAATGTACTAGGCAAAAAAAATAAAATAAAATTCAGCTCTCCGTGCTGAATCAGGTTGTTCTAAAAGCAGTCTCTCTCTTCACACCCCTCCCTCCCCCCCCCCAGCGGCTGGTGCATGAACACAATTGCATGCATGTAAGTCTGGTGCAGGCAGAAGTGTGCTTTTGACTATGTTGGATCCTGGTGTGGTGTCAAAAGGGAATCTATAACTAAACAGATTTTAGATAGCAGAGTCCTTTATGAGCCATTTGCCCCCTGTAGCATTTGAGTACAGTTGATAGTCCTACAAACTTGAAGTTACTTGGACACTATTACCAGCATATCTGGGGCAACCAGTGATTTACTGCTCTGCTCTTTGTTTTGGTATTTAGCATCAGGAAAAAAACTGTTTTGCAGTCTCAAGAAATCAGTCCCAATCTGATCTTAGATCCTTGCTTAAGTAAAGTCTTTATTTAACCCCTTTGGATGGGGAATAAATTTCCAGCTCAAAACTAGGGTCACAATGGCCTTGTATAGACACTACCTAACCCTGTACTTAATGTTATGTTCTACTCTGGAGTACATTAGGATATATATGCAAGCTTAATTCCCTAGAAGCTTACTGGCCAAAGCTGCTTTTGTGGTCTGTACATGTCAGTGAATGCTACTGGCTAAAAGTTAACTACATTTATCTGAACAGCTGACAAAAGGGGCTGGTAAAATGATGGAAAGACTCTTTCCACATGTATTAATTACACTTCAGAATAGTCTTCCTTCCTCTTGTCTAGAAGTACTGATGCAAAACATCAGTTCATTTGAATTGTCACTTTAATGTGAAGAAGTTGTGACTCCTTGTATCAGGGATCCAAGTTAGTGTTGATCTTTAGTTATTTTTGAAATTGCAGATATTATTTCTTAGTTTCTGTAGCACTTCATTTGCATCAGTAAAGTCGTCAGGATGTTTCTGTGTGCAATGTGAGAATTAAATGCAGGACAAGGCTTCTTAACTCGAGCTTCAAACTCCACTGAAGTAAGTTGTAAGAACTTACTGCATTCTTTGTCACCAATGTCACCATCTAGGAGCCCTGTGTACTTTTAAATACAAACTAATCTTAAAACTGTGAAATTGAGGAAGATCAGAAAAACAAAATTAAAGATGACACCCGAGTTCATGTTCTGCACTGTTTGGAAAAAGAGCCATGATAGGGTAAATTTAAAAGTGCACCACAGTGGTGGTGGTGGGGGTGGGACGACAAGATTCAGACTAGTAACACATTTATATATCCTTGATTATCCACTATATAAGTCCATAATTTCCTCCTTTTTAATTACCTAGCAAGACCCAAATTCAGAAAGTGGTAGTTTCCTTTCAACAGTTGATGTGTCCACATCCATCTACAGTAAATTAGCAGACCGTGCATCATTGTATGTGGTTATGTTGTAAGGGAAACACCAGAACGCTGATCTCAGGACATAGTGCACTCCCTCCCTTCCTTTTTAACATCTTAAATCTTTTCAGTGTAAGATTTGTTGTAGGAGTGTCATCCCTTTGTTTTTCCTGATTTCTCAGTTTTTATATGAAACACATGGTTATTTTAAATGTAGTTTATTTCAAAAAAGGATGTTAAACTGTATTATGTAACCAGAAGACTTGAAAGTTATCCATTCTCCTTTTCATCTTTGTTTTTATTTTAAAAAGGGCCCTGCCAGTAAATAACTTGCCACATTTATTTTTAATTGACATATATATTATACATGAACACCCCGAGCTCTAAAACCTACTACTTGCACTTTTGTAATTGCAAAATGGCCAAACTTTGTACACCCCTCCCCCCCCAGTGAGTACAAAATGTAAATAGTGGTTCCTTAGCTAACATCTGACATGCTAAGAAGCAGCAAACATTTCCAAACTTTATGGGACGCCTGCATTGTCCTTACCCGAATTGGAATAGCAGCTGCACTTGGAGGCTACAACAGGCACCAAAACCTGGGAAATTAAAAGGGAAGTGAACTTAAAGGCCATTATTACTGGCTTAGATGCAGAATGTTTCCTTCCAAAACACTTAACCTAAGCAGCGTTATTCTGTGTTAAATGTGTTGCCAGAGTTAAACTGAAACTTGTTTGTTTGTTTTCAAAGTTATTTTATAAGAGAAATTTTCTCTGTTTCCTGAGGTCTTTGTTTAGGTTGTTTAGTCTTTCCCATCTAGCTCATAAAACCTCTCCAGAACAATAGCTCCCTTAGTAGATAGAAACATAGCTGTTGGTATCCAGGAGGTGGGATTTTTGAGACAACCCAGTCTGGAGAGTACACTAGTGACTGATATTAAGGACCACCGACTTTACTTCCAAGTTTTGTTGTGAATCCTAGAGAGAATATATAAACAAAGCAGCTGCTTCAGTATCAACAAATACTTAAATACCATCAATTTTTCATTATGGCAGAACTGCCATTGAAGTAGCTGGTGATGGATTTATTGGACGCCATTCTTTCTCTGGATGTGAAAATCCCCAAGCTTCAGCTAGTGCAACAAATGACAAGTCAAAATCTTCACTTGAGGTGAATGAAGGGGCACTGTGCCTGTTAAATGCCAGTTTAATTTCATTGGTAATGTATGTAGGAAGTTAACTATTTATCTGTATATAAATTTGTTTATGTAAACGTCTTAATGGCATTTGATGATGTGTAGATTTCTGCTAATTCCATGCAGTGACATTTTAGAGCCATATCTTCAGTCTTATTTTTAGATTTGTAACATTTTTAAACTGCTTTAGATATTAGTGCTCAGTGTTTAAAATATATGATGCTCTTTGAGATTTAGATGTGCAGAACCTGTTCAGAAAGAAGGTGTTAATGTGGTACTAGAACGAGGACAACAGTTGTTAAAACCCATCCTGTCAGAACCCGTTTACGCTACAGATGTAACTAAGTTAGGGAGTTGATTGAAGTTTGTTCCTGATCCATTTTATACAGGTCATTTTATGTAATGTGGTGGGACCTGTGTGCGCTTTTACAGGGCTAGACTTTGAGTATTGGTGGTGTACACAGCCCTGAGAGAGGTGCCCTGTTTCCTTAACTAGGCTGTGCCCTTAGAATCTGTCTGATCCCCTTCAGTGTTCTTGACGTTTCCAAATAATTTAGGAAATAGGTTTGTGCTGCAGTTTTCCCTGCCTAGTGCAACTGGATATTGGCTCAGCTTTTACAAGGGATCCTTGCTAGGTAGATTGATAGGCTTCTGCCACTCTGCAGTTCCTCCGTCTTACTGACAGCTCTGGGTGCTGTTCAGCCTGCATTAATCCTTGGACTAGCGCACTAAACCCAGCTCCTGTACAGATGTTTGTAGTGTGAGGTTGGTACAAACTGAACATACATAACTATTTGAATGCCACTGCTCCCTTCTATAGAGGGAGCCTTCTAGTTTGTAGCATACCATTGAACTGCTTATACACCTTAAAATAAATACCACTGATAGCTTGGAAAGTTTAATTTTGTTGGCTATATTGGGAAGGGAAAAGGCAGGAAATCTTGTCAGTGTTCAAGACCTGTGAGAACTGATAGTCTGCTTCACATACCGCATTTGGAGACTTCAGTGTTATCTAAATGAGAGACTACAAGCCTGAAGTCCCTGTTTCATTCCAAGAAGGTGCTTTCTTCAAAGGCTAAGCTACATTAGGGCAATTGTTTGTCTCTTGCCTGCCACGCCAAACTCCATAATTCGGGAAGACACACTTTCATTTGAAAGTAAAATGCCAATATTACATGCACCATTCTGTTTATTGCTAGAGGGAAATGCTGGGTATCGGTAGGTTACATACAGATATAACCCGAATAGACTTCTCAAGAATTAATGGCTGTCTTCTTCCCTACTACATTTTCACAACCAACAAAGAATGTTTCCTTGTTGTTTGTGGAAAGTTGCTGATCATATTTTGTGTGCAGCAGTGGTTGCCAAAAGATTGAAAGACTTATTTGAATCCTGTCAACTGCCCTTTGATCCTGTCCCATGAGACTGACTGGAGGTGTAACAAAATACATCGATAGTTCCTGATTCCTGTGCTGGTTTTAGGTACCCTGTGCAGTGGGGGATTCAACGTAGTTTGCAAATCAAGGAGGTCCAAACCTTGTGCTGTAAGTATGGGATTGCAATATCGTGTGTGTGTGTGTATGTATGCACGCACATATGAATATATTTATACAACATGTGTGCACTTGGTACTGCTGCTGTCTGGTGGTAAAACATTAAATTTGCTTCCCAGCACTACTCTTATGAACTCTCAGCCAGACAAGTGAAGAAGTTAGTTTTGTGTGCCCAGAATCACAACTTCTCCTTTCAGCTGCAGGAAAAAGAAGTAGCTCGGTCAGCGAATGGCAGGTGAAGAAAACAATGAACAGATCCTATTGTATGAATAGAATTAGATACAGTGTTTGAATGAGAATGTCATGCCATATGTAAGGGGGAGGGGGAATCCTCTCAGCTTCTGTGTCCACAAAGTCTTCCCTCCTTGCTAGAATAACTGTATCTTGAATAATAAGATGCCTTTGCACTGTCTGGTTCAGTAACCCCAATTTTTGTTGCTTACAAACAGACTGAATTCAAAAGGGTGGCATGGAATTGATTATGAATTGTAACGTAAAACTAGTGGTGACTTCAAAACCACACAGATTATGGCCAATGTTCATGTTACTACCACCAAATTACTTCTAGTCATCTTGGTTAGAGAACGCCAGGTGGTCCTCCTTGGGCCTCATTTCCCTTAAGGTGTTTCCTAACATGAACACAAAGTACATGCACAAATCACATTTGGTTTTCTATTTGCTAATGGCAATCAGCACAAATGTGAAAATCTATAGGAATCAAGGAGGGGTTCCTTTTGCTACTTAAATGTTTGAAATGACATTTGTGTCTGTCACAACAGATGAACCTTAACATTTGCCAAGCTCAAACTTTTGCTGTTAAGGTTTCCTTTTTTGGTGCATGTGTGCCACTTTAGCCAATTGCTGTCATTCCATTCATTCTGCCACTTTTTGGGGTAGAAGAGGAGGCGCTATTGGTTGCCTTGTCACAGACATCCAACAAGGTTTATATTTATTTTGCATGTGAGCAAGGCCCTGAGATAAGCAATCCACTGTGGGTTTGTCATATCGGCCTCTTATGAAGCCTGTGGGAGCTGAAGATGTAATGAGAGAATGCATTTCACATTTGCACTGTTTTTCAGCTCTGGTGGGGTGAGGGAAAAGCCCTTGTTTAAAAAAACGTTAGCAGTTGTAAAAACAAAGGATTAAAGCATCTGAAAAGCAATTATATATGTATAGACATATATATATTTTGTTATGTACCTAAAGGACCATACTTTGAATTGTATGTAAGTAGATGTGGCTGTCTGAACTTTGTGGATTGTAACACTCGATACTACTGAGCTCCTGTACATACATACGGTTAAAGCAGAAGGAATTATTTTATGTTTTAGCATGGTAATGTGTAATGTATGTCTCAGTATAAACTAAAATAAAGATTGCTAAATTATCTGAAACCACTGTTGTAAAATAAATGTTTTCAATGCAGAAACATTTGGGTTTTTTCTTTCCTCTTTAATGCAACCTTCTTTAGCTACCGAGAGCATCACTCTGCGACGTCAACCACAGCACAGAGGGTGTTAGCCTAGCACCTTTGAACACTTGTCCACATCATGAACATCACCACACACTTGGTGGTTGCTACTCAGAAGAGCTTGGAATAGTAGGGGTGTAGGTTGGATTTCAGGTGAAGGGGGAGTTTTGCCTGTAGTCGATTTCACTAAAGGTTTTCCCGTTATTGAATGTGTACAGACCTGTTGGCTCTTGACTCATGTGAGTATTTAAATATCCTTCTTGAAATAACCAGGTTTAGGATTCTCGTACACTGGTGTTTCTCAACTTTTCCTCACCTCCGATCCCCAAATCACTCACTTTTTTCTCCCATAACTCTACATCCTAGAATCTATTGTGCTATTTTGATTCAAAAGGCTTTTGTGATATGTAATGCAACATTACATTTTAGTTCCTTGTGTCATACATGCAAAAAGTAGGCACATTTAAAATACTGAACATGTAAAATACATGAAGACAACTTAAATTTTCAAAAGGGAAAAAAAAAAGCAAAACTTGCCATAAATGTCCAGAATTGTTGCATATACTTATAAAGCTTTACCAACAGACTGTTGGTTTTTCCAGAATTACATATGGAAAATAAACCTCATGACACACATTTATTCTGTTTGCTTTTATGAATTATTTGTATATGTGCTTAGATTAACATTCTATTAATCTTTACCGGAGTAATCCTTCATAAATGTTGTTTTATCATATAACAAGAGACCATTTGAATAAAATGGGAACTAGCATACATCATGTGAAGCCTGTAAGCTAGCACATCATATCTTTGCCTTGATAGAGCTAAGAATCCATAGTGTCTGGGAAAACAGTGCACATGTCTGTCAAGAACACATTAAAAAGGAGAGGTTGCCTTTTCCATCTTCAATACGTGGTCGCCGACACCATACTATCTGAGCACCTCGCAATCATTTAATGTATTTATCCTCACAACACCCTGTGAGGTAGGGCAGTGTGATTGTCCCCCTTGTACAGATGGGGAAATCAAGGCAGAGAGGATAAGTGACTTTCCAAGGTCCTTCAGGAAGGTTGTGGCAGGGGCTTGAGCCCAGATCTCCCAAGTCTTAGGCTAGTGCTCTAACCACTGGATCATCCTTCCTCACTTTGCAATCTCTTATTTGCGTCACAGTAATGGATGCTGTGCAAGATCAAGATTTATCCTGCAGTTAGTCTACTGCTGCTGTGGTAGGAGAAGTAGCCATTATGCAACCCTCTCTCCATCCCCTAATCAAACTGCTGAGCTTGTCTCCTCCCTGTTCTTTTAACGGCTCTCAATCTCGCATTGTTTATATTTCAGCAGCACTCAAAGGTCCCCAGTCACATTTTAGGGCTTCCTTGCACTAGGGGAACCCCTGTTGCAAAGAGCTTATGTGTACTGGATGCCTGGATGTGTGCACCCTGGCTCTGTATGAACTAGTTTAAATGTGCTTGAGTCCTTTTTCGCTTCACCACCTACAGTGGACGTCTCTGTTGGGTAATACACTGACACTGGGCTATGAAGTCAGACCGAGTGAGCCTTCTTTCCCTCCAGAGATGAGCAAGAACCTTAATAGTAACATGAGAGGGGAATAGCCTTAGCCATCAAATTCCTGGAGTCCTAAAGTGGAGCTGAAGCAGAGCCCCAGAGACCACCAGGCCAACAGCTGCATCCAGCACTTAACATGTTTGGCAGGCTGCTTTCCCCTTACATATCTTCCTGGGCTCTTCCTCGGTGCTTCCTTGTTCTGTTGCTTGAGTGCTGCTGGGTTTGGGGGAGCAGGGAGAGTCGAGGGCTGCATTGGCTTTCTTGTCATGTCGATCCAAATGGAATACAACTCCTATCGGAGGGATCACCCCATCGACAGCCTGGAGAGGCAGCTCATCTGCCCTATTTGCTTGGAGATGTTCACCAAACCTGTGGTAATCCTGCCTTGTCAGCACAACTTGTGCCGGAAATGTGCAAATGACATATTTCAGGTGAGTAATCCCACTTGCAGCCTTCTGCTCCTGGGGAGAGGTTTTTTTAAATTTATTTAATCCAATTGATACTGCAGGGTCCTGCGTCTGTGTTTGTAAGTAGGTGGGAAGAGGTCACACGATTGGAATATGGATGGATTATTTGGGTAGGAAAGGGGAGTGCCCCCAAATTGTCCTCTTCATCAATCCTTTCCAGCTTCTGCTAAATTTTCACACACACAATCCTCTCAGGAAAGGAAATGAATCCCCTGAACAACTTTCCCGCTGGTCAGGGCTGTGTTAGCTCCCTCTGTCAAGGGACCTGGGAGCCTCAGAAACAATGATTTTAACAGCCCAGTTTGCTGTGAGGTAGGAGCGAACTATCCCCTGTTCATAGATGGGGAGCGGAGGCAGAGAGGTGAAATGAATTGGCCAAGGTCACACCGGGAGCCTGTGTGCAGAGCCAGGACTAATGTCGATCATCTGAGTTCCAGTCAAGTGCCTTGACCACAAGACCATCCTTTTACATCTGTCCCATGTTTCCCCATCCTGCACCCCCTCCCAAAACAAGGAATAGTGTCTATTTATAAAGTTAATGTATAGAAAGCTTGAGCAGAAAGTTGGGAGGGACCCAGCTTACGTTACTCATGCATCTGATTCCCCTGTTAAGGGACCAATGTCCTTTTAAAAATGTACGAAAATGCTAAGTGCTCCATTTCTGGGGCAAGAGAACATAAAGAGGCGATCTAGTAGTAGCTATGATGGTTGTCTGCTCCAGGCAGTTTAATAACATACACCTAGCAGTGTTGTAGAGAAGTTTGTGCTTAACGGGCCTCTAACAAAATGACTAAAGTTTCCCAAAAAGTCAAGCGATGTCTGTAAGCACAAGAGCGAGAAATGTGGAGGAGCTGACTATAGACATGAGGGGCTGCAGTTGCCAAACATGTTTAGAATAGTTTTTCCTGTGTGTTCATAAGGGATGGGCTGGCACGTTGGCAGCTCAGTAACACATCATTTTCTTTGGTGGCAATCTGGGCATTCATAATAACACATGGCATTTTATTAAGAAGCACCACCGCACCTGAGACAGGTCTGTAAGTCTTACTGTCTCCATTTTACAGATGCGAAGATGGAGTCACGGATGGGTGAAGTGACATGCACAAGGCTATGCTGGGAATCTGTTTGAGCCATGATCACAATATAGATGCTTTTAATCCTGTGCTTGGGCCATGGGATCAGGATCTCCCTCAGCATAAAGTGTTAATGTTCTCACATCACAGCAGGCAGCAATGTTGGGTATGGTGATGGTGATACCCTGAAGTTTTAATAGCTTTTTAACTCCTTCATGGCTCTTTGCATGATCACCACTGACATTGAAGGGCTAATTCCTTATCTGATTGAAATTAACTGAGAAGAACTGAGTGGAATAACTTAATGTTTCAAGAGAAGGTTTTCTTTCTGGTAGCAGTACCAGAATTATCTTCTTGAGTCATGTGCGGATGGCTCAGCATAGCTGAGGGGTTATGCATATTCTTATTCCAACCTTCTGTTGTCCTGGGGGATTTTCATCACCTGCCTTTGGGCTATTAAATATCCTGTGTTTACACTTAGCTGCTGCACTGCAATCCCTCCCTTTAAAAGTGCACCCTCTTCTCATTTTGCTTCCTATGTGACAGGTTGGCAGAGGGTGCTTCGGGTCATGTGATTCCTATCAAACCAGTCTGTGGCCAGCTGAGCAACCCACCTGTAACGGCATCTAATGAAGATCCTTTTTGTCTTTCAGTCTCGTGGGACAACCTTGGGCTCCGCAGGCCGCTTTCGCTGCCCATCCTGTCGCCATGAAGTGGTGCTGGACAGGCACGGTGTCTATGGCCTGCAGAGGAATCTACTAGTGGAGAACATCATTGATATTTACAAACAGGAGTCAGCGAGGTATCCCAACACATTGTGTGTGTGTGTGTGTGTTAGAGAGAGAGAGAGCGAGCGAGAGAACATCAGTACAGCCTGCAGACTCTGTAACGTGTCTCCTTGCAAAATATTCTTCAGCCATTAGAGGTCTCTGTGTACTGTCTAGAGTTCCAGACAGGCTCCACTCCCTGGTAAAGAAAAGAATCAAAGCTAACAACATCAACCTGTGTGGAAGCCTGGTTGTGTCTATAGTTGTCACTGTTTTCTTTAATCAATGTCTTCTGCGTAAGAGCGTTGATTCCATAGATTACGACAGACTCGACTGCCTCTGTGTAAACGAGATGGCAACTCCAGATCAAACCTGCTCACTTTATAAGTCAAAAAAAGAGTTTTTCTAACCGTTAACTCACTGTGGGATCTGAGAGAAAAACTGGGGTCTTTCCTTTTCATGCGTCATCACCTTGTACTAAAGGTCTTACAGGCCAAACTGCTTTCTATAGTACCTTTGCCTCCGGGGCGTTTGCACGTCTGCAAGTAGAACTTAGCAAACGAGTCTGTTGATGACCCACAAGCGGGAACAGAACCCTGCTTCCCCGCTCTCAGCTGGGTTGGCTCTGCAGGGCTAACAGAAGTAAAAAAGGGGGGAAGCTTCCTTACTAAAGTCAGCAGAGCTGGGGTGCCCCGTTGATGTACGTACGCAGCGTGAGAGACAGTCCCTGCCCCAAAGAGCTTACAGCATAAGTAGACAAGACAGACCAAGGGGGTGAGGGGCACAGAGTGGGAAGTGACTGGCTCTCAGTTGGGGACCGGGAGCAGAACCCAGATCTCCTGACCTCCTCCCATCCACTGGATGCTGCCTCCCCTTGCTCGTTTCCTGTTCCTGCTGATTTTGGTAGGATGGAAATGAGGTGAGCCTCTGTGGTGCTAACACCAGTGCAGAACTCCTAGCAGAGGGCACTGCTCACCTAGCGCTGCAGCTGGTTGGTTTCCATTGCTCCGGAGGAGGGGTGGGCAAACTTTTTGACCCGAGGGCCACATC